AAGTAAGGCTACCATCATCATGTATGTATACTGTTTTAAACAAGACAATGTGTACAAGAGAGGATATCTGGGCACTGAGAGTAGTGACAGCCTTAGACCTCCGCAATTGGAAATCTGCGGCACGGGTAGCATGAACAAAAGTCCCCTTATGCAGTAAAACTCATTAACAGGAACTTATAAGTCAAGTGAGAAGGATAAATCCTGAGAGGCAGAAGAAAAGCCAGAAGATAGCAAAGTTTTGCAGTAAAGAACATCTCCTCCACTAACTAGCCAAGGCAGCACCACACAGCAAATCAGATTTGTTCACCTTTAAGTCAACTGACCAAATAAAGTAAGACTCATTTGTCTTTATATAAAAGAGTAAACTTTAAAGTAACGTATGAAAAAGCTTTTCAAAATTCCTGTGTAAGTGAAAGTTAGACTAAATCTAGTCTAGAACTAAAGACGGTTGTAAAGCCTTTCTGCAATGAGGAAGCAGCTGAGACTTGGTTACAGCAATTGCGAGCACAAACAAAAGTTAGGCTGTTTCCCAGCTCTGATTCATTTGGTTTCATTTATAACAGACCTTTTGGACAGTTGGTCAACATGAAAAGCCTTTAAAAAGTTTTAAAACCACTTAATACCTTTATCCCTGCAGTAAGTGCTGCCTAACAAACATGAAGTCATTTTCATGCTACTAAGCAGGTAGGAATTCAGTAAGTTTATTCTGTTTTCTTAAACTGACCCATTAATGATAAATGGCCATCAGCAACCACATAAAAAAGCTGCTTAACCAGTTTCACACCTATAGAACCCGATGAAATTATTTAGAAAGATTCATTATTTTAAGTAGGAACTGCCAGACTACTTTCCAACAAAGTCATCTGTATTCAGACATCTCATTTCCTGTACCCTATTTGTTTTAGTTCTTTAGGCAGCTGTCAGTGCAGTGAACAAGAGCAGCTGTGGTTTCCTGTTAGTGCTGGCCACTGGCATGCAAGTCACTGCACAGGCAAAGGAAAGAGTGATCTGACCCACAGCATTACTTCAGCTACCAGGCAGCATCACTCCAAGTTGTACAAATACTACATTTGGATTGTAAGCACCTTGAGTTCCAACACAAGAAAACTGCTTATCCCATGTTCTCAATGGGATGAGGAGGCATCTGACTGATTTTTCCCTTCCAGAGAACAGTTGCATTGCAGAAAATGGAGTCTTTAAAATGTGAATATACTGTGAGACCTACCACTTAAATGGGGATATTCATGACTGTTCTGTAAAGATTCCTAAACCACAAAAGAGAAGCACACAAAAGGAAAAAGAATTACCACTTTCTCGAGTTGCAAAGTAGAATTAAGGATTGACTTCTACATTAATAGGTAAGTGCCACATTATTCAATAAGAAATGTTATTTCTGGGTTCACTGAGGAAGGTGAAAAGCCCCCACAAGTTATATCCTGAAAAGAAAGCATGTTTCAGTACCTAGTGCCTCTTTTCTGGAAAAGAACTTCTCTTGACCCAAAGCAGAATTACCTGCACTATCGTGTAGTGACAACTATATCCAACACAGCCAAGCTGACTTGTGTTCTTACACCTGCTCTGGGGGAAGAGAAGAAAGTAGGATAAGGCATTAAACAACTTCCTGTTTTCATGAACAATGCTTTAGATTGTTAGAACTAGGGTATTAAGAGCATTGTAGTTCTCGAACAGAAATGTGACGGTCAAGTATCCCACCAAAGCGTAGAAATTTGCCAATCCAAAAACCATAAGACTGATCCTGAATTTGCCCTCATCTGGCTGTGTCAGAGAAGCCAGCAGAGAAGGAGGTGCAGAAAGGCTACTAGTCAAGGAACTGATGATGTCTACCAGCAGATATCATCTGCATGCACATGAGAGATTTATAAAGATCAACCTTGCATTTAAAAGTTTGGCCCTTTCCATATTTGGGCTGGACCACTAAGCAGGGATTGAGGTTTCACTGCAAAAGAGAATTAGCAGCCAAAGAAATTAAAGATGATATCCATGACAGAAGGAACATAATCTAAATGCTATACTGTTAGTTACAATTAGTAGAAACAGAAGCTGATGCTAAAGTGCAGATAATTAAAATGTTCATTTAGATTCTGTTTCCTTAAGTAATTCAGCTGACCTCAGGTTTAGAGCATTTAAATCAAGGTTTTAAAATTTGATTTACAGTGTAAACTCTTCATTAGTTCATGGTTAAATCTGTAAACGTCCTTATGAACAAAAAGGTATTCAGAAGTAACATACAATCACTAATGCAGTATTTTGGTATGGATGTACAAAAAGAAATTAGGAACAACTAATGGAAGACAGCCCATAAAGGCCTAGAAGTATTTGTTTTCCTACATTCCATACTTGAATCTTAAAAGTGTACTTTGATAATTTGTCTAATCTGCATACAGAACAGTATTTTAGTATTCTCTAAACAGCATCTCTTATCCTTCAGTTTATGTAAACCTCAAGAAATACAAGAAATGAGCTTTTAAAGCACAATGCTCCTTGAAAGAGTGACAGACATGACAAAGCACCCCAATTTGCTAGTGATTACCTAGCAGTAACTAAACACTATCTTACAAAATACACATCCTAAAAACAAGGCAAAAAAAAAAGCAGAATGGGGAACCTCACTTTACCAAATTTTATTTCTCAGGAAGCGCAAAGTTAAAGGTCACAATTCTGCATCTGAAAAGATCTGGAAGCTGTGTTCCTCCTCCTATTCTCCAAGCCTCCTGCCTGCCAACTCACCCCTTCTTTTAAAGGGTGGCCTTATGTCCCTTGCTGTTTCTTCACGGGGAGAATTACTTACACTGGACTCTGGAGTCCACAGTGTGTGGGACACTCACTTCAGCGTGTTTTCCCATTTCATACTATTGTATGAATTTTGGGTTGTATTTCATTGCGTTTGTGCTTTTATTCCTGCAGAATCTACTAGGATTCTAGTTTAAAAATCCCTTTTAGACAAAAGCTCAAGTTGTTGGTGCATTTTGGGTGGATCAAATGTACTCTAAATGCTGAAATATGTTTACCACTCCTTTGCAGTTTAAGTAGAAATGTTCTACTTCCTCACACTTTTTTTTTCATAGCAGGTTTCAAGCAGTTGATCTACTCTTAACATGCATCCCATTTAAATTTAGTGCACATCCAAGATCTGTCATCTGATAGTGGGCAAATTCCTAGAGAGCATTAGAAGGTGAAATCTATTAAAGATCACCATGTTGAAGAATAGAAAGGAAATATAATTTGCAATTCCTTCCCTAAATCCACAGGGGGTAGGGAGCAGCACAAGAAGAAAGGGACAGTCTATTGAGACTTCCGATTTCCTTTAGTTGTCATTTTCAATTGCCTTGAAATTTACAGTTGTAACTTTCCATAAGTGCTCCACAGTTTGTTTCAGTGTCAGTGCAGACAGGCATAACAAATGCCACCGAAAATCAAGAATTCTCTTGAGGATTTAGAAGTGTAGGTATCAGAACAGAGGATGTCCAGTCAGCCACCTGGTGGGTTTTGTTAATGTACAGTGTTATAAAACATTGTATAATTGTTTTGTTGTCAAAACACTAATTCCTTCAGTCCTGAGCAATACCAATGTGAAATATTAGAAGCAATCATATATTATCTCATTACTTTGTTTGCCACTGAACTGTATTTTGTTATACAAGCAGGGATCTTAAGAGTAACACCGGCTGTACAGCAAAGGACTTTTTCTAAGCAGCAGCAAAGAGTAACTTAACTACAGCAGTGACAAAACAGCAGCGTAATAACCATCAGTATTTTAAAGGAAATCATAGTAATGGCAGAGAAACAGCAGCTCCGCAGAGTAAGCTTCAGCCACGCCCAAGCTGAGACTCAGTTTGATGCTGGTCATTCTTTTATCAAGTAAACACCCCAAGTTGAGTTAGCCTCTTTTGGGTAAGAATTAAACATGTCACAGGACACTCACTACATATTTGATTTTGGAATGTTAGGAATGACATTAACAGACTATTTGTGCTGCAAAGAGACAAATCCCCATGTCACATACACACACACCTGAACTGTCACAAACAGTTACCTAAGAACACCTTTCCTACTCTAGTCCCGAAGTTAGAGGTCTTCATTGATAAGAAATCACTTGCTTCCTGTAACCATCATTATCTACCACAAAGCTGGTCTCCACTAAAGAAAAATAAATGTGTTTACAGACTATAGAAGCTCTGGTTTGAGCCACAGTACTGAAATGGTTTCCAATACCTAACTGTCCATCTACATAGAAATCAGAAATCTCAAATTATGCTGGAGGACATCTGTACTTGTTTTTCAAGGAAATGCCATCTAACCCAGACTAAAAGGGAGTTTGATTCCTCTGAGATCACAGCCGATCCCACGAGAGCCCAGTGGGATTCACCCTCCCGGTCCCTTGGCATGTGTTGGTGTCACCTATGCCGAGCTAGGCACTCCTAGAAAAATCACTTTTGTCTTCCTGTGTATCCAGCCGGTATCTGGATACACAGTTAACTTGTTATCAAAACTTGTTATTTTTCCCTACGGATGTTTGCTGTGTGAGCATTCGGATTTCGCCAACACAGCAGGTAGCGCGTTAAAGGACAGCGGCTCCTCCAGCTCCCGACTCAAGAGCGGGCACTCCCAGCGTGCTGTTCTCACGTTTCCCAACACACACTACCGAGGTCTGAGTCACACCGAGTTAAAATCCGGCGGGCGCTGCCCTCGCACCGCTCTCCTCGCCCCGGGCCAGCCCGGCGGTGGCTGCGGCCAAGGCCCAGCCGTGACACCGGCCCGGGTCACCCGCGGGGCCGGGGCAGCGCGGGGACCGCTCTGCCCCTGCCTTCCCCTGGGTATGGATCCCGCGGCTGGCACAGGGAGCCGCCGCCTGCCCTGTCCGGGAGGGCAGCGGGACAGGCCGGCGGGGCAGGCAGGGCTGGCGGGGCACGGCGGGGCGGGGCGGCCGCGGGCCCGGCGGCCCGGCCCTCCGCGGGCCCGGGGAAGGCGGCGGGGCTCACCTCCCTTGCAGGGCGTGCGGTGCTGGCTGTGCTGCGCCCGGTAGCCCTCGATCACCTCCCACTCGCCGTTGTCGCGCTTGATGGGGAAGGTGACGCTGAGCACATGGTTGCAGGGCTTGATGATGCGGAGGATGCCGCGGACGCGGTGGCGCCGCTCCTCCATGCTCTCGCGGGTGCGCAGCCCCTCCACCAGCTTGTCCTCCACGATGCTGGCGCCGCGATCGAAGAACCCCTCCACCATCTTGAAGAAGTTGGGGTCGTCCTCCTTCTTCGCCGCCTCGCAGTAGTGCCGCCGCGGGCACCGGCCCCCGCCCCACGCCGCCGCTCCCCCGGCCGCCGCCGCCGGCCCGCCGGGCTCCGCGCCCGCCAGCACCGAGCCGGCGGCCAGGCGGGACGCCAGCAGCTCGCCCAAGTAGCGGTACATGGCGGCGGCCGCCAGAGGAGGATCGGAGCGGCGCTGCCGCTGTCACAGGAGGCGCCGGGCGCCACCGCCGCCGCCTTTAAACGGGCCGGGGGGGGCGGCGCGGGGAACGCTCCGCGCCTCCCGAGCGCGCGTGCGCCCCGCGGGCCGCGCCGCCCCCGGCGGGATTCGCGGGCCGGGAGGGGGCGCGGCGGGGCCGGGCCGCGCTCCCGCCCCGCGCAGGCCCCGCTCGGCCCCGGCCCGGCCCCTTCCCCCCTTCCCTCCCCTCCTTCCCTTCCCCTTCCTCCGGCACGGCCCTGCCTCCCCGCGCCGGGGGAGCCGCGCCGCTGCCCCGGGGCCGGGAGCGCTGCGGCCTGTGCGGAACCCAGCGCAGGTAGCTGTCACACGCTGCCCTTCAGCCGGGTGGGAAACGGGACCTGTCTTGGCGCGAGTGCAGCTGCGAGCGGGGGTGTGTTCACGCCGAGCAGGGTACAGCGCTCGCAGGGAAAGCTGCCGGGATAACCCGGCTTACCCACGTGTGTTTAGGTGCCCCCTGGCAAGAGGGGACAGAGGCTGCAGGTGGAGCTGTTGGCATGGCAGCTTTCAGAGAACCACCGAGGCACTGGGGCTGAAAGAGACCTCTGAGTTTTGCCTGCTTCGTGTCGTCAACTGTTGGCCTTTTGTTGGGTGTTGGTCTATTAAAATCCGTGGTTTTTATGTAGTTCGGGTATTTACATCTCTAAGACTATTGCTTTAAACTGTGCAAGGTCTGCTTTCAGAGCGTGGGTGACAGCGTGTTGTACTATTGAACCATGTTCGTTTTATAAGTATGGGTCATTTTCTGTAGGTTTGGGCCGCTAATTGGAAAATACAGTGGGGTGTTTCTCTTTTTAGGCTTGTGGGAGGCCAATGCCCTTAGGGCAGGAATAACCAGGAAGTTGGTTTATCTCTATGAGAATCTCTCTAACCACTGTGGACATCCAATGGCTGTGCTACAAGGCTTGTGGGCAAGTAGTTTAATGTGTATTTGTCAGCAGGAAGCTTAGTCATAGAATTTTTGAGCATACATAAACTCTTTGGGCAATTGATATTCAGTTTTTATCTTGATATAATGTGGTTCTCTGTCCCAAGATTCAAAAGAATTTGTCCTAAGGTCCACTAATAAGACTGCTTCTTATCTGTGATGAGGATGGTTTATAACTGTAGCCTAAAGAACAGAGATCCTTGATAGTAAGTGATATGGAAAATAAAACAAGAAAGGAGTTAGTTCTTAGCCCGGTTTGTTCTTTGGATGTTCCCACAGGGCTTCAGATACAAACTACTGATTTGCTTTTCTGTCAATACTCTAGGTGGTTCATGGAAAAGTTCTATTTTGGTGTTAATTTTGAGGTTAACAGGGATTGCAGTGTTCTCAGTGGTTGTATCAGCTTTGAGGTGCTGTTTGATTTCAGTCATCTGCAGGTTCTCATTAGTTAAATCTCAATTTCTCTGCAAGTTCTTGAATTTTTCTTAGGAAAGAAGGTGGTGAAAGGTCTTGTGGCAATTAGTCCTTATAAGCTAATTATTTTCACCTCATTCCATTGGTTAGAATGCCATTTCACATACACAAAGGTTAAATGAAAAATATGATTAGCCAGTTTGGTCAAGCATGTAGAGGTATATCTTAAGGTTAATGTGCTTAGCTCTTATCCTGATTTCAGCTGTGGTCTCTCTGATTTACGAGCTTCACTTAATTATCAGCTGCTTGCAATATCAGGCTGTGTTTGCAGTACACATTTGGGGGTGTATTTGAGACTAAGTATGGAACATGATAGTGAAGAGAACCAAGTGGATCTCTACAGAGGTTCAGTCACACAACTGTATTTGGAGCAATACAAATACACCAAAGCCACCCTCCCTTCTGAACAGGACTGGATTTTTGACTAAATATTCAACAAGCTCTGTGCTGAATGCTGAGAATAATTAAATCAGGATGTTAATTTTCTTAGCCTTTAGATGTTAAGATAGGAGATAACTAGGGATTTTTGTTTGCACATTTTTATGACTGAAATAATGTGTACAGTTTACAGGCAGTTTACCAAACTCCATACCATATTTCTGTTTGATTCAAGTCCCTTCTGGAGACAAGAGGAATGACACTGCCTATCCAAGAAGAGCAACAGAAGTCATAAGTCATATACCCCATTCCAGTATTGTTATGTGGTAAGTGGTGAGCAGGTGAATATTGGTCAGAGAAAATTAAAAATAGCATGCTTTAAAATGAGTTCAAGCAAGTATGAAGGTGGTAATTGAAATAATAAAAGAGGAACTATATCATCTTTGCTCTTGTATAGCACGTGAGATGCCATCAGAAGATTCACATTTGAGTAGCATCAATAAAAAACCACTGACTTCAATAATTTCATACTGGATGTTTGTCTTAGGCCTACATCTGAAGAGAGAGATACGTAGAGAAAACTCAATACCTGTGTGGTAGGAGCTGTCTGTATGATTCATGGACTTTGCAGCAAGGTCATATTCAACTGTGTGTACTTGATAGGTATCTGTTTCTATTTAAAATCTGTGAAGTATAGTTAAGGGACACAAACAAATTGATTTAATTTCCTAAGCTTCCTCTAAAATATCTTATATAGAAATGTTGACAGATTATGTTTTTTATAGATAAGAGCAGTAATAAACACTGCATTGTGCCTTCCTAAAGCAATCTACAGTTTCAAGATGTAAATTATCAATTTCATAACAAGTGGAGTCATTTTCTATGTGCCAGATTTTAAAGTTTTATTGAAAAACTGGAGCCCAATACTTTCTGCTGTAATTAATTATATTATTTGAAGTATTAGCTATTTGAGATTATGTAGATGACTAGCATAATCTTTTTCCTGTGTCTAACATCATTAATAATGGTATCATAAATGGAAGATGTGCTATTATTAAAATTAAAAGGTAATTTAGGTTCACCTTGGTGTTAGCTAAGAAAGTCTGGCAAAAACAGTCCCAGGATGGACTGATGCTGAATACTCTCAGAAGCTAGGATAGCTACTCCCAGCTTGCACCCCAGTCTTCTTACCAGCTGACCAAAAAAAATGAGAACAAGCAGAGAAGTGGCAAATGGGGGATTCTCACAGGGCTCTGAATAACTCTGTCTGACTAAGCCCTTCAAATCCAGGGGAACGATGGGGTTGCCTCCTGTGCAGAGACTCCAGAGTTTGAATCCATTAGACAACATGCTCAGGAGAAAGTTGAACTGTACAGTGGGCAGAGAACAAGTTCCTGTCTGTGGTAAACTGTCTTCTGGGAAGAGGAATTGTTTTTCAAGTAATCTGCAAATGGAATGAAAATTGTTTCAGCAAGCTTCGTTTTAAGCTGTCAGCCATATCAATCACCTGAAGCATTTGACGGTTCTTACTTACCCTTTCTTTAAAGAATTGATGGACATAAATTCCAAATACTGGTAACACTTACATACAAAGACTTATTTTTCCCTATTGATTCCAGAAGTAATGGGGCAAGTTGTAAATCTGAGGTTCTAGCCCGGTAGGATGATTTAGAATATTATATGAGTTGAAGCAGGGTCTTGTTCACCTTTGAATTGCTGATGTGAGCAACTAGGTTTCCCTTTCTCATTTCACCTGAAATTGCAAAAAAAATGCTTATTTTTTTTTGGACACAAGTGTTATGCTGTATAGACCTTGTAGACCATGTAGACCTTGGCAGTGTAACTAAATAGGTGAGAGCTGGGGTTGTTGTCTTATCCCAAACTCTGCTGCAGAAGCTGTTCGTTCTCTGAGTCAACAGATCTCTGGACAGTTGCATAATAGTTCCTGTGAGAATGGGAGGATATGATCTGACAGGAATATGAACTGTAGTGCTGTTCACACATCTCTTGGCTGAGATCCTGTGTTTCTGTTAAATAGGGGGCATGCAGGTAAGCAGCAAGTATGTAGGACTTCCCAGAAATCCTCTTGCATTGGACCTGACTGCATATTGTGGGAAAGTGTACTAAAATACTACCAAATAGCAATCTGATTATTTTCCAGATCTTTAGCTTGAGATATTCTCGAGTTTCCTGGGCTTTATCTTCTGCCTTCACAATGCTTTAGAGTAAAACTTTGTGTATAATTGGTTTTGGCATGGCATGTGAAAACAGAGATGGCAGTTTCTTCATCTGTGGGAAAATGTACCAGCATTCAGTCTTCAGAGTAATGGTGGGTAATGTTGGTACAGCATTTGTTCTTTTAAAGATGTGTTGTTTTATAAAGCAAATATACTACGGCCTAAAGAGTCTAATGAATTATTAATGTAATCTGAGCTTAATTTTAATTCCAAATTTGTGAATAAGATGTTATACTCTTAAGTGCCACATTTCTTGGTAATATTCTTCCCTTTTTATGCCAAGCCAGCACAGGAGTGAAATGAGGTGTGTGGAACAGTTCAGTTGTCTGGTTTCTGTGTTGCTAGAGGGCTGGCTCTGTAAGATGCTGTTAGAGGCAGCACGTGAATTAGGTGAATCCCAGCAAATTCCTTTAATTTGTGACTGTCTATATAAGCACTTGTACCAAATGAACACTTGACTAGAAATCTTCATTTCCATCACCTGTTTACAACCAGTTAGGTACTAAAGCTTATTAAAAGCCTTTTTACTGGTAGCATAACTTATCAATACTTAGATCTATGGGTTTAGAGACTTTTCTTTCCTCTGTAAATAGCTTCAGCTGCGTTCAGCCACATCGAAGCTGGAGAGCAGTCTTGCAGGTTTTCTTCATTTGCTCCCTTTGCCCTGAGAAAAAAAACAACCCAAATCTGGTGGTTTTCCAGGCAGGCTGCAGAAGTTAGATTTGCATATGCTGCAAATCTGAGATGTGCTTTCTGTAATACTGGGAAATTGGAGATTACTTCCTGTTGAGATAAAGACTTTAAACCTTTCAATATTTTGTGTTATTTATGAGATGCTTAGGTACCTGTGGTCTGATTATTTAACATTTTTATGTATTATTTTCATTAAATTGATCAAATATAAGCTGCTAACATCATATGTAAATAGTAACTTTTTTGCTTGTCTGTAGCACTGTAAAAGTAGGGAGTGAAACTCATAATTGTACAAGTAAAGTAGGAAACTCTTAGGTTT